TAGGTTTTAAATTAACCAAGAATCCATGCTTAATATAATTAATAAACTGTAAATTTGAAATTATAATTTTAAATTTTTAAAAAATGGCATTTTGACCATGTACGAGTTTGAAAAATATCTAAATAAAGAGTCCACACAAAACACAATTAGGAAAGACAAAATTTGAACTATCAAAGCCAATAGTGTGATATCCAAGCAATTGGAAAAAAAAACTAAATAATGATCTAAGCATGGCCCACAACACAGCGTGGTTGAGTGCAGGCTTGGGTATCAGGTCTGATGTTAGGAGCTCATGATGTTAGTGAAAGTATTCCACTTGTAGTTCACGAAGACTTGTTGAGGTATTGATAGACATTGGCAGAGCACGACAACGACGGTGACCAGCGGTTGGTCGATGCGCCTAGCTTGCTGCACACAGGGCCGCCGCCGACGGCCGACGCATGGGCTGATTGCTATTGGGGGCTAGCTGCTCGATCGCCGGAGCCAATGGCCCGGCCGGTCGACGTGGTTCCGATGATCAAATCAAAGCCGCAGGTGCATGACTCATGAGTCATGCCGCGTGGAACACGTACGCCTGCTACGGAGGCGTACGTGTGGACCGGCAGGGCAAATGCTACGAGACGCCCGACCAACGCAGCCTGCTTGCAGCGGCCCACGCGCCTCGTGTTTTCTGGCCTTTTCTACTAGGATTAGGCTCCCGATGCGTATAGCTCCAAGTTGACATGAGATGAGACCACCGGCGCCTGTCTCTGTCTGCAGCGGCGAGTTGCTTGGCCGGTGCTCTCTCCCGATGGCGATTGGCGAGACGAGCGCCCAGCGACACCGGTCACGTTTTTTTGGGGCCCCGGTATGATGCGTTTGAGGTGGCCACCGGAGAGGTAACGCCAAGGTGCCACCAGACCGCCAGCACCAATGACCACGTACAATCCCTTGGCCACACATCCAAGCAGAACACGTTGATGCTGAGAGTGACATCACTGTAAAACAATCACGGGAGTAAAAGTTCTTTTTGGACCATTACACAGTTAGTATTCCCGTGACCTACAAGAATTGGCCTTCACTCTTCTGAGTGAGAACATATGCTTGTTGGAGAAGTGCGTACGAAGAATGCTTGAGGAACCTGCTAGAAGAAAATTAGACAATCTAGTTCGGCTGGTGGTTTTTGTGGTTGATAAGTCGACTGATGCTATTTTATGTTGTTATGAGAGAAAAACACTATATCATGACTGATAAATTCAAGCGAACAAGACGTTAACTATAAATGGATATGAAGGACTGAAACCGCGACCAGTGGGTGGGTGAAACTTGGCCTAGATGTGTCAATTCTGACAAGACGCCTCTAGAAACGTTAACTATAAATGGATATGAAGGACTGAAACCGCGACCAGTGGGTGGGTGAAACTTGGCCTAGATGTGTCAATTCTGACAAGACGCCTCTCTCTTCTAGTAATTGTTAAGGATATACATGGCAACTAGTAATGTGTCAACTCTAAGAACAATTAGGAAAGTCCCAAAGTAGCATGGAAGCAATATGACAAATTAAGTAATAATAATTAAAAGACTCGCTAAGTAGCTAGCTGACAAAAATTCAAATTAATGATGTAAAACAAGATCTGAGATGCAAGATGTGTTTGGTTTGTGGAGTCATCCCATGTTTCATGAGATGATGCATTATGAGTTCATTCCATGAATTTTAATGGAATCAACTCATTCCTCGTGCATATACTAATTATTAGCATGTGAGGAATGAGGTGATGATGAATCAACTCATTCCATTCCACAAACCAAATACAAAAAGTGAGGAGTGAGAAGATGATGTATCACCTCATTCCTCAGACCAAACAATACGTAAGTAGCTAGCTGACAGAAATTCTAATTGACTGTGCAAAAATAAAAACTGAGCTGCAAAACTAAAGTAAGCAGAAAGAAATCTAATTGTTACACTTAGATACTACTACTCACAAGCAAACACGCGGAAGCAAGAGAATTAAGAAAAAGACACAATTAAGAAGGCAATACTTCACTGTTGAACCAATGATGACAATAACAGGCAGCTGTGCTGATTTACTACAGGTTGCTGCGCGCTGGAAATTCAGAAGAAAAAGCTGAGCTGCTATTAGTCCGGCGAAGTCAAGAAATGCAACACCGGGCAAAAGCACAGGAAGAATTGCTTGACCGAGAAAATAAAACGGACAAATCTCGAACCAATTAAGCTCAGAAATTAGAGGGGGCTTTACAAGTTCATGTGACATCCATCTCAAATGAAAACCCCTTCCAAAGAACAAGGATTTGGTGCTAATTTCAGATCAACCGACGAAGCCTAGAACAAAACAGGTTTGGGGAAAACTTGAAATCAAAGGTGTCTCCTCACATATCCTAGCACTATTTTCCTCCAAAAATCCAATCAAAATGCGACGGACGAATTTCTGAGAAAATAACTAGAAAAATCCTAGAAAAAAAAAGGAAAAACGAGGGAGAGGACAAGATGAGCTCGAATTTCTGAAATAAATTGATTAACCAACTATGAATAAATTTGTACAAGATAGTAGCCTTCTCCCATCAACCTCCCACTAAGAAATTGAAAAACTAGAGCAAGAGGTGATTACCCTAGCCTCTCTCCCTTCTAAGCATTTGATTAATCTAGAGAAATAAAATTAGGGTTGCAAAGATGCTTCTAACACAAGCCACATCTAGTATATATATTGTCTTGACTAGTTACTAGTAATAATGGATATACACCCCCGAAGGGTAAAACCGTCCAAATTTTTTCTCGCGCATCCGATGGTCCCAACGTCTTCAAGACCTTGCTTCGCCTCGACGCAAGCTCCATGATGCACTTGTTTGTCGATCCGCTACTCCTCGGTTTTGAGGTCAAATCGGCAGACCTGCTACCCCACAGTTTTGAAACCGAAATCAACAATCCATCTGGAGTCGCGTAGCCACTACGCCTTCTCCATGATGTCGATGTGCGCCTCGCTCGTCCTAGACCGGCTGATCAACAAGTGCTTGCTCACCCACCTTGACTTCGTCCAATCACCGTCTTGACTTCGATCAATATCGTTTTCACCATCATCCTCGCATCTCAACACTTGCTTGTCGACATGTCCAAGTCTAGATGTCCACGGTCCATCTCTCGGCCCTTGTCCAAGACTTTGTATCTGTCCTTCACGGGTTCTGGTCCATCACGCACAGACTTCTTGCTTGATTCTCTCCATTGTTGTCGACCGTCTCATGCTCAACACTTGCACACCCACATGAGCCAAGACACATGTTGCACTCACAGCTCATGCATGGGTTAGCCCCACGTGCACTTAACCAAAGCTCTGATTATCTCCTTAACAATCACTCGTCACTCATAACATTGGCACATATCAACTATGTATTCATAGGATTGAGCGCGGATCAATATTTGCGCTTATATTGAGTTACACAAGCGTAAAGGAACACCTGTCCAGATTATTACCATATACAGTACCGTAGTATTATCGAATCCCAATCTTATTCACACCCCCACGGTTCTTCACCCCCAAATTGAGATTCGTTATCATTAATACATTTTAATTTTTGGCAAGATTCATCAATACAATTGACCATCACATTGACCTATGGCATTATTTTGTACACACATATTATTTGTTAGAAAAGTAATTAGATGATCATTAGCAAATAATTACGTTGTTAGACACATGTGCTAATTGTTATCAGGCAACATGCTAATTAGGATTAGTGGTAGCCAATTTGGACACTTTGAGCTACTTGTAATATCCCGGTCCATTAGTGCTCTAGTTTCGGCCTGTTATGGCCCATGTGTTGTATTCTGGGTGGAATTAGTGCCACTTGATTGTTTAGATTCTGGCTAGATTATAATCCTTGACATTTCAAAAGTAGCATCTTTATATTAACCCTTTTACATGAATTATGGGCGAAAGTATAAAAGATGTGTTATATATATATATATATATATATATATATATATATATATATATATAGAGAGAGAGAGAGAGAGAGGGGTAAGGCTATTCTGCAGCTGGTCATAGAATAACTTATTCTATAGCCACATTGATTTACGATAATATTTGTACCAATTTACGATAACATGAATATGCATTTACGATACTCATGTTACTACAACTCACGGTGATATTTATTATAATGTTATAGTAAATTACTTAGTAAGGAGTTACTGTAATCTCGTAAATTAGCATGGTAATTATCGTAACTCAAAGTGGCCACAGAATAAGTTAATATATATATATATATATATATATATATATAAGCTCATCATGCGCGCCACCCGCTCGCTCGTACATGGCCAGCGCCGACGACGACTAGTGGGGATGAAGGTGCGAGTGTGGCGCCGCGGACACCATCATGGACACGGCCGACGCCATCGCCTCTGCCTCAGTTGCTGTGTCTACCACGCCAACGGCGGCGTTGACGCCCGACTCCACCTACACCTCCATACGTCACAACATTTGTTTGGACTGTTGTCTTGATCGTGGACTGCCTTGTTAGTTTCTTGGTCGATGAAGTCTCAGGCAGTGTGGACGGAACGGAGAGAGGTTGTTTCTGTGGAGTGCACCAACTATACCGTGCATCCAAACGCCCTAAAGCTAATAGGTAGCTAATAGTTAGCTTGCCAATATTAGTTATGAATTATTAGTCAGCTAACTATTAACTGATATTGAATCCAAATAGCTTAGGGAAAATTAGTTTTATAACACGGAAAGATCGCGATATCCGAAAAATACCATCAAAAGCTTATCCGTGCGTGAAATAGCACCGAAAGAATGAACCGTTACCTGAAAATACCATTCCGTCACTGAGATAACGCTGTGAACTCCGTGTCATGGTGGTCACGGCCCCAGGCAACCTTGCCGCCTCCCGGCATACGTCGGTCTGGTGACGCTTCCGTTACCCAGCCACCCGAAGTTGCCCACGGGCGTCGAGTCCACGGACGCGCACCCTCGCACTTGCTCTTCCCGGCGTTCCTGCACGCCATGGCGCTGCTCCGGGATCCCTTCGCGGGGTACCTGGCCTCGCTCCCCTCGCCACCGCTCGTGCTCGTCTCCGAGTTCTTCCTCAGGTTCACGCAGCGCGTCGCCGGCGTCCCCCGCGTGATGTTCCACGACATGTCCGCATTCTCCTTGGCGCTCTGCTTCTCCCTCGCGACCAGGCCACCCCCAGTCGAGAGCATCCAGGACAGCACCCCCTTCATCGTCCTGAGGTTCCCGCAGAGCGTCACGATCACCGCGGACGAGGTCCCACACGCCGTGGCTCAGGACGCCGACCTCGATGACCTGGTGACACAGTTCTTGTTCGACGATCTCAAGTCATTCTACCTAGTTGGCCTGCTGTTCCTCGCCACCGGCGAGTCGTGAGGCGGCGGCGACAAGGACGAGGACCCCGAAGGGTGCCTCGCGTGGCTCGACTAGCGGCGGTTGCTGGCATACGTGTCGTTCGGCACGCAGGTCCACGTCACCGTGGCGTAGCTCGAGGAGCTCGTGCACGGGCTAGCAGACTCCAGTGGCCTTGGCGAGCAACGCCTCCATCTCCTCGACGCGGTGCTCGAGGCGGCCGATGTGTGTGTCGGCCTCGTCGCGGAGCCTGCGCACGCCGCCGATGACGTGCGCGGGGGTGTGGCGCTACAGCCAGCGCGCGATGCCGTAGTCAGGTGCCTCCATCCAGCGTGACAGCTGCGCGGCGAGCCAGGTCGAGCGCCTCCTTGAACTGCGCCGCGAGCTCCTCCGTGGAGCGCTGGGTGTGCGGGCCGAGGCCCTAGAAGAGAGGAAGCAGCGGCTCGACGATCCAGCGTAGACACTAGAACAGGGCGGCCTGCACCACGTGCAACAGCTCCCACAGGGCCTTGCTGCCCAACTGGTCGAGCAACAGCCGGTCCATGGTCGCCGTTGCAGCTAGTTGCTCGGACCAAGCTCCTCGTCGCCTTCCTCTATCTATATCGCCGCCTTCGGCTCCTTCTCCTGCTTGCGTGTGCTCGATCCTGTCTGTCACCGTGTTCATGGGAGGGGTAGAGCTGCTCCTGGTGGGTTTCCGCCACAAATCGACATAGGGATGGCCCAACATGCCACGGGGATTGATGAGAGGGTGGGAAGAGGATGACGAGTGGGACCGTCCTTTCTGAATGAAGTGGAGTGAACGTGAGGTAGACGTTGTTAACAACCAATTGACAGAATGGTAGATTCCAAAACGGATTATTTCTTTCAGTGGTATTTTACGTAACGACGACGTCGTGATTTTTCGATGCTATAGAACCAATTTTTCCAATAGCTTAAGCTGCTCGGTTGATGGTTTTTGTGGCTGATAAGTCAGCTAAAACTATTTTATTATGAAAAAAAAATATTATACTATAACTGATAAGCCAGACTAATAAGTTCCAGCAACCTCGTTCTAGGCCGCTAAACAAAAGTTACCACTGAAGATATACTCCAGGCCGTCACCCATCACCCGTCGGACAGCTTAGTCCACTGAACATATACTCCAGGCCACTAAACAAAAGTTGTGCTACGAAAACGGCCCTGGCCTCACCGCATCAACGCCGCCACGAAGCCCACATCCAACCTTTCCATCGCATTCCATTCTACAGCCGGAGGAAGGAGACGCCAGCCCAAATCTGCCCGAGACCCTCCTCTCGGTCCCCTTCCTCCCTTCCCCGGCGGCGGGGAGGATTGCCCACTATGGCGTCGAGGGTTCGCCTGAGCCTCCCCTACCGCGAGGCCGCGGAGCCAGAGCGGCCGCCGCCGGCCCTAACCAGCGACCTCCTCGAGGAGATCTTCCTCCGCGTCGCCTCCCCTGCGGATCTCGTCCGAGCCTCCGCCGCTTGCGTCTCCTTCCGCCGCCTCATCGCTGACCACTCCTTCCTCCGCCGGTACCGCTCCATTCACCCGCCCCTACTCCTTGGCTTCGTCAGCTCCTCTGGCTTCCACCCTGTCGAGGCGCCCCATCCCTCCGCTGCTGTCACCCGGGCTGCTGATTTTTCCTTTGACCACCTCCCTCGCCCCACCACCGAATGGCTCCGCTGGCGTCCGTGCGATGTCCGCAACGGCCGTGTCCTCGTCGGGTGCCGTAGCAAGAAAGGCGCCGCCTACTGGGACCTCGCGGTGTGCGACCTGTTGTCCCGGCGATACCTGCTGCTGCCTCCCATAACCGACGACCTACTCGCCTCCGTCGAGCTCCAAAACCACAGTATTTTCCATCCCATGGCCTCCTTTATCCATTCAGGAGGCCCTTCAGGTGGCATAGAGGGAGATACATCATTCAGCGTGATCCAATGGATACATTCCCACACAAGGTTGGGGGTACTTGTCTTCTCTTCAGTCTCTGGCTGCTGGAGTGTCAGTATGTCTACCAATTGCAACGATCTGGGTTTGAACAGAGTTGGTGTTTTGGTTTCAGGCCAATGTGCCTATGACTGCTTCTAATGGAAATTATACAACATGAGCACGTTGATCAAGCTCGACATGAATACTATGCAGTTTTGCACTGTTGACCTCCCGCCTGGCCACGATGAGCGGGAAATCGTCATTGTGGAGTCAGGGGAAAGCAAGGTTGCAATGTTTAGTCTGAGTTATAAAAGCACATCTGTCAATTATTACACCTTTTCGCAAAATGGCAGTGAGAAGTCCCATGAGTGGCATATGATGAGTACCATCCCCTTGCCTGCACATTATACTAGTAAATGCTACATTGGTGGTCCAGCTGAAGGATACATTTTCATAGAATGCATTCGAGATGGAGAGAGTTCAACATATTCAACAGTTTTGTCACTTGAGATTAAGTCTTTTAATATTGAGAGGGTCAGTAGAACAAGTTTTCCTGGCCGTGCCTATCCATATTTTGGTTTCCCACCATCTATGTCACCAAGGAGGATTTGAGGATGTGGAGAGGTACACTTTTTACTGTAAGTCTTGCCTCTTGCATTTCACAGATTTGTACATTTGGGCACTGGTTGTGTGAATCAGCGATTAGTAAGCACCCAGCACAGTCTGCTTGCATTGTTGGTCTACAACTCTACATCAAGAGGGCCTGTTGAGCGTATTTGTCATGAAAAAAAGTGGCTCATGATATGGGCTTAAGGTGAGCCAAATAAGCCTTTATTTATAATGGCCTTCAGCCAGTTCTTCTAATGCATCTGTACATAGTTCATGTGCTGTTTGACAATTTGCTTCCGTTAGAGATTTGCAGGCTGTTCTTGTTAACATGGTTTTTCTTGTCCTGTTCTGGTGTAGCAAAGGTAAAGCGCACTCAGGAATTCACTCATGATCTGTTTGTTGTTTCATCAAGTAGTGGGTATGTAATAGCGTCTACTATGAAAACTATTTCTCATGGAGCATCCATCCCACAGTATTCAAAAAATCAACAACACAACAACAACAACAAAGCCTTTAAGTACCAAACAAGTTGGGGTAGGCTAGAGTTGAAACCCAGCAGAAGCAATCAAGGAGCATCCATTCCACAGTATTCAAAATATCATGAAATAATAAAAAAAAAGACAAGCACTAGTTTATCGACAAGCTTCTGGGCATTTGTTTCAAATCTAGAAAGGGTTTGTATGCTTGTGACTTTGTGAGGATGTGACCTCGTTCACATATGATTAGTCTGGGTACTGTTTAATTATTAGTCTGGGTATTGTTTAATGACTAGTTTCGGTAATGCAGGGCTTATATCTGTTCCCTCCTTGCCTCCCATCTCATGCTTATGCAAATATCCTGAACTTTGGCAAATGCTTCTTTCTATTGATCTATTCACTTGGCATAACTTTATGAAACTTCATGTTCTCTAGTGTTTGTATTTGTGACTGTGATAGGCTCACCTGGTTGCAGTTTAAAGTTGCTAATTATATTATGATCTATTGGAGCAGCTGAGCTGAGTGGTACTAGTTCTGTAGTGTTTTCCAAACAGCATTGCCGGTCTACAAAAGTATAGTCTTTTGATCAGTTTGCTGTAAAATTCAGGTTTATGAGACTAAACTCAGCTACATAGGCCTTTCAGTTAGAATGAGCTTCTGCCTATTCTAGTATCGTTATAACTTATTTGGAATCCCAGATCTTGTTCCTTGTTACTGCAGTAAGATTGTCAGCTCAGATATAAAAAAAAAGCATGTTAGTGTTATATGCATCTTTACTTTTTGAGCCAAAACTTTGCCTGAACCGTGAGTAGTCCACCCTTCAAATTATGCCTTAGCACAGTAACTGTGGAAAGCAATTAAGTAAACGTTTTGGATGCATTTTCTTTCTGCAATGGTCGTTTCGATGTTCTAATAACTGCATCTGTTCGGTTGCAGGAATAGGTTCCCATCCACATTTGGAGCATTGGAGTGGATGCAGTCTGTTGTATCTCAACATCTGTCTTCTAATATGCATTTGGTTGCCCTGGTTTTCTTGTGTCTAATGACCGGTGTTCTGAAATGCTGCTGCCCTGAGTTGCATGTATTATGTAGGAAGCACCACATCATACACATGTGGTCTTCTATATTTCAGCGTTCATTGTCTTGTAACTGAACTTTTAGTGTTTCGATATATTCAGTTATATCTAATGACCGACCAAAAGAAATCTTGCCGTTATTGTAGACCTGGTCGTGCTAGACACGGTGCAACTGGTGGTGTTTGGGGCGGTCCACCTGCTCTCTTTTTTTTTCACAGTACGCGGTCGAGAATTGGCTCCAAACAGGGCTAAGGGGCTCGTGTTTTCCACCAGTGCTATGCTGAATCCTGCATCCTGGGTGCAAACTGCGCGGGTGCTGTGTGCGCGCTCAAGAGGGTCTGGGTCTGGCGAGGCCGTAGCTCGAGAGAGCAGGCGGTGTGGCATCTGACAATGGCCGCGCTGTGCGGCCTTGATTCCCTGTTAGCAGCTCTCTATACGATGGAACACCAATTACTCCACACAACAATAGGCACCAGCGCTATGTATTCCAATACAGCAGGGAAGAGTTCAGGGAAGGAAACAGGAGGGGAAATCAGAGTAGATCAGAGGCTCGATCAGAGGTACATCAAAGAGAGCTTCAGATAGAAGGAAGGTAGGCTGAAGAAGAAGATCGAGGAGGAAGAGCGGGATCTGGGGAAGGAGAGGACCTTGTTGGGATTTCTGAATAATTCTTTCATGCCCCGATCTGCTACTGCTGCCATGCTCCCGTTCTTGCTGGGGACTTGTGTGACAGCACGTGCCGGCCCATTAAGCCCGACGTTCCCCACTTCTTCTTTTTTTGACAGAATTCCCCCCTTCTTTAGTTTCGGCTTGCCCCTAAGACGATGATGAAAGTACTGTAACATGTCCTTGAGCCATGGATGTTAGCGGGTTGTTCAATGTTGAAGCCTCCACCTTGGTAGCTTGAACAAAATTCACATTCCTGTAACTGAATTCTTCCCATGGCGATTGTTTTAAGAACATCACTGCATCTGCAATTAGGAGGTATCTAGAACTGAGTAAGGGCCACAATGTTGGCAGCAGCTTAGCTCCATCACACATGACCTCCGGTAGTCCGGTTGAACTCTGGTCCACACGAGCAAGAACAATCAATTTGCTGGCAACTGAACCTGTCTCAACCAACTTACTATTAATGTCAGTATGAAGTATTTCAGGAGGTGGCCATGGCTGCAACTCAATGCAGCAAGTCGTGGACCCATTCACTCCAACCTTGAATAAACAAGTGGTGACCAAGAGCGTGCCCAACATAAGGGTTGAGGTCAGGTTGTAGTCCAACAAAGCCTTCATTTCAATCTGTGTGACTTCGACAATTTCCCTCTCATGTAGCAACAAACTATTAGCCATCCATCTTGCAGAGCCAACAGTCAATAAAGGAGCAACTCCGGCACTTCCATTTAGCAGTAACAGGGAAGTAGAAACCCATTGGGAAAAAAAAACAAATTTAACAGCCAGGCAGGTCGAACCAATTGCTAATAGATGCAAATATGCAATAGGGACTGAGACAATGGAGCACACAAAGTTCAGATGGAGCAGCAGTTGATGGTTGCAGGAAATCACCCCTAACAATCCTCATCTCGAGTAGCTCATAATCAACCAGCATCTCAAGATCAAACAATGGCGCACTAACCAACCGACTCTCTCCAACAGGTTTTATACAATTTGGCGTAACTAGTGCATTGAGAGATCCAAACTGCATCTCAGTAAGAGCATCTGCGTGGACTGAATATGTGTGGAACAACACAGAAAGCAATTGCTTATGAACACCATGATTCCAGAAACATGGGAAGGATAACTCTCTCATAACCAATTTATGCAGCAATGGCTTCCTTTCACTGCTATGAACATCCCATTCAGTTGATTCTAGAACTACCAATTTTGCTTGCGAAGAAGCAAGGTGAGAACTTGGATGTTGCCAGGCTGCAATTTAGAGGAAGTATATAATAGTATAATAGGATCCTCTTGTGACAGCCTACTCGTGGGTCGAAGATGCACTACGACTGCATAATACCAGAAATCCAGAATGATGACCATGATACTGGTCGCAGGTCAGCCCCATTGCCCCAACACGCATCACCGTCACCAACACAGGTTGGCCGACCGTCTTTGGACTCAGATATCGACTCGTAATTCGTGTTTTGCTGTTTCGTGTTAGGTTCGGAGGAGTTAATGCACCATAGATGTTCGGTTTCACACTGGATGCCTTAGGTTTAGCACGACACTGGTTCACTCCGAAGGAAAAAATTAAAGGAAAACAAAGGGGTAGGCAACATGCATGGCCTGTTAGCTCATTCAAGCTTCCCCAGATTTCCCAATCCATGACGGGGAACGTGAGAGATGAGCGTGCAGCAAGCATGCTCCTACGAGTCACGTCGCACACACTTGAGCTGAACTGTGCAGGAGCAGAAAACACATGCTAGTAGATTTATTTGTCCAAATTATGATGTAACCGAGGGGCGAGGCCTGTCATACTCACAGCAATTACAACCACTCACATTCAGACAGTTTCTTACCCCAAAATCCAAGTGTCCCGGTCCAAGAAATCAGAGCCACGTTGCACTCACATACCAGTACATGTCAAAAATCAAGGCAGAAATTTTCTTTCACTTTACCACCATTTTTTGTTCCTTTCCCAAACAAATGGCTAGCTTTACACTCACTGAACAAACTTGTACAATCAATGCACGATTTACATCATGTAAAAACTCCACATCGAAGAAACTCTCAGCTAAGGGAACAAACTGCAACCGATGCCACTAACCGATGATGACCACAAGCTAAAAACCCCAGCTTGTAGGGAAACTAGCACCGCCTGAATGTCTGAAATGGAACCGAACAGAACCAGTGCGCGCAGCATGGATGGCAACAACCACCGCCGCTACTACAGCAAACCCAATCATGAACAAGATGAACAGTATATAGGGCCTCTTGCTCCACCGCCCCATGATCCCGAGCGCAAACGGGTAGATCAGCAGCAGGATCCATGCGTTGAACACCAGTCCGAGGGACGCATCGGCCATCTGCAGGAGCGACCATCCCTCAACGATCGCCTTGCCAATCGCCGCCCCAATCGCTCCGACGTTCACGGCGATCACCACTATTGTGGGGATCAGCAGTGGCGCCCACTGCACTACGTACATCTCAGCATACTTCTCGTTCACGGTGCTTGTAGCCTGCTTCGCTGTCAGCTTGAACGAAACACCATTCCCACGAAGGACTAGCTTCAGCACAATGTGCAGCGTTGCTAATGGGTACACGGCTGTTGCCCCGATGATGTAGAACTGCTCGTTGCGGATCCAATCCAACAACGTGAGGCCAGCCCACTTGATCTCGACCATGCCGATCAGTTCTGTCATTGCTATGATGATGACGAGGTACAACACATATGTGGGGAATGGCTTTTGTATGTAGAACTCACCACGGAAGATCCATATGATGGGGAAGAGGAGATAGAAAACAAGGAAGACTGATGAGATTGGGTAGGCTGTCATGTTGGTGTAGGCTATTCGTTGCATGAAGTTTAGTCGATGACCAGCAAGGAGTGGGCAGTGTGAGAAGAACATTTCAAGGGAACCGCCCGACCAGCGCAGAATCTGGTAGAGGCGCTCAGTGAGGTTGATAGGTGCAGTGCCACGGAAAGCATCTGGTTCTATGCGGCAGTACATAGATCGCCATCCTGTCCGGTGTACTCGGAAGCCCGTCACCACATCCTCTGTAGCAATGTTGTACACCCAGCCTATTTCCTTTCCAAATTCAGTACCATCCTCATATGCAGACTTCATGACATTATTCAGCTCTTCCATGACAGACTCCTCATGTGCCGGTGGTGATGTCATGGACCATTCTTGGTTCGCAGCTGATGGTATGGAGTTGATGAAGGGCATTGAGTTGCCAAACTTGTTGGGGTTGTCCACGAGCTTGAAGGCATCAGTTCTCCAACGAGGTGGATCAATACCATAGACAGCAATCCGGCGGAACATGCAACCGGTGCCAACATAGGAGGGTCCCTGGATGCCATTTAGACCAAGCAAGGTGGCATCAAAGAAGACACGGTTGTGATTGCAGTACCTGTCTGTTGGGTCGACATCATCGAAGCGTTGTGGGAACTGAACAAAAGCAGTGTTGTCGCCATCACGCCGGTCCAGCATGAAGCACATTGCAGCTCGGAAGGCCTGTGAGTTGTTGACATAGTGGTCACCATCAAAATTGATGATGAAGGGAGCATTAGTCAGAAGTGCAGAGACCCGCAGCTGCACGTTCATGGCGCCTGCTTTCTTTTGATGGTCATAGCTTGGATTCTTCTCACGGGAGATATAGACAAGCATTGGGAGACGCACGTCAACAGCACTGAAGTCCAGAGGGGTTTCAGCACTAGCTGGTCCACCAAACCGAGGTTCATCGCCCGGGTGATTCAACATAACCTGATGAACAGCCATGTTAAGGGTAATAGATTAATACACTTTCTTAGGTCACTCATGCAAGACTATGCTAATTATAAGTCACCACTATTAGAGACTAATTAAGTTTTATCCACACAAAGAAAAAGGGCTAGCAAAATTGCATACCTTAACAATTCCAGCATGTTGCCCTTTCTTGTGGTTTTCAGCAGGGTCAAACCATGTTCCTGGCCATTGTGTTCCATCTGCCATCCAGGTTGCCTTTACACCTTCTTTGGCCTCTGCATTGTATGCATCTGAGCGCTCAGGGATTTTAGTAAAAAGTGCATCCAAATGCACCTTGAACTCATCATATTCCTTAGACATGTGCCTATGATCATCAGCAAACTCATCTGGTACATTTCCTGTGTACGGGTGTGACTTCACAGCAAAATAGCTCTGAGGAGCTCTCGGCTCAATGCTATGTTTTCGGCAAAATGGAACCCAAAGTTTTGCGAAATTTGCAGTCTCAAGCAAGCCCTCATAATGGATTATGGACCCTCCATCATCCGAGAGGTAGGTAGCAGTCCTATCAATTGGGTAGTCTACGGCAAGAATGGATAGGATAGAGTTCATAGTGTATATCATAGGCTCATTTATGGGATCAACGGTGTTGATAAAAACATCAAGCCTGGGGAGATTAGAGTTGCCATCAGGGAGATCGAATTGCTGTCTCAGGAGGGAAAGGTCTGGGACACGCTTGATAGGGTTGAGCTTTGCAACTTGGTTTAGCAACCAAGTGACACCAAACCAGAAATCTCCAACCATGGATATCCACCAGAGCCACATGCCATCGGCGTACGGGTGCCTGATCCGCCATATGAAGAATAGGATGATAGCAATCAATCTCAGCAAGGTCAACAACCTGTTGCAGACAAACCGGAAACAAAATTAGAACATGTAGTCAGGGAAAGCTACTACTGCGAGAAGTCCTAGCATTGAAATAGGAATGAGTAGACTGGAATACTATGACTAGTGACAATGCACGTAAATACAACAATTTTGCACCGTCTTTTAAAATTCGTTACAAGTTGTCAGTAACGTTTTGAAAACAGAGCTGCAGAACTGAATTAATTCATGTGTAATGCAATGGATGGAGTCCACGAGATGAAATCTTCAGTTAGGCACACAGCAGACTCGGATTGCACAGTGCGCATGGGGCATCTCAACTCTCAGCCACAACTCATCGTAGCACAGATCTAGAAATGAGAGAAGTAACAACGCGACACACCTAGCGAGACGCGCCACGAAGACGGAACGCCAGCCCAGCGCTCCCCGGCGACCCGTGCGAGGCGGTGCTGCGAGCAGCGGAGGCGGGTCGGCCTGGAGAGCTCCCGGGCTGGCAGCGGAAGCTGGGATACGGGACCGCGGGGCGAGCGCCTGAGGCACGGCATCGCCGCCCCTAGTGGTAGGTTCGCTGTCTCGTCGCCGTCGGTCATCGCCGTGTTAGCCTCTTGGAGTGTAGGCCTGTTGGGTCGGAATGGGACGAGGGAAAGGGAGATTGGTGGACCGGTGGGCAAATGCCCGCCCATTTTCACATTGCAGCATGCTGGGCCTAGGCCCAGGTTCGGAATATGCGCTTTCACGAACAAGCGAACTTTGCATCTCTCGGCCCAATATTATGCCTGCAAGCCCATGTTTGTTTATTACGCCCAACCAAAAGTTCAGTGCACCGTTTCTAAAGTCTAAAGAGTATATAGTAGTGAATTCTCAAGAGAGAGAGAGAGAGAGAGAGAGTATATAGTAGTCCATTTTCAAAAAAAGAGAGTAAAGAACCACTGATCTCTCCTAAGAAAATTGTGTACAGTGTGCCCATCTCTCTCTAAAAAAAACGAGTCCCTCTTTTAAAAAACTCAGTCAAGTAATTTCTTTTCGGCAGGGAAGGAAAATCCCTACCGGTAGCTTAGGACTTGTTTGGCCGGGCTCCCGGCAGCTCCGGCTCTGGCTGACACCCTGTGACGAACACTGTAGCATCACTGTAGCAGCAGAGCTGTTTTTCTCTTCCCCCTTTTTCCTCTCACTGTAGCACGGTTACTGTTTATGGAGCCAGTGAAGCTCGATTTTCTGGCTCCTCCGGCTCCGGTTCTGACACGCTACAGTGTGTGAACAGTGTAGAAGCCGAAGCATCTTGGAGCCGTACCAAACAGGTTCTTAGTATGTAGCCCTTCAAAAAGAGTGCAATTCTACTACTGCCCTTTCAAAAAAAATCTACTATCCTATTTTTTTTACTTTAGTAATAATATAATTTTACTAGGCAACTAAGCTGAGGAAAAAGGCGTGCGTACGTAACTGATCATTGACACTCCCAAAATGGCAATCACGATTCAAGAGCCATGGCCAAAAGTAGAAACAGTGATTCTCAGTAAAGCATGTGCGCGTGTATTATTAGCGATGAGGCTTGAGGCCGGATGTACTTGCGCACCTGTAGGGGTGCAAGAGGATTCCCTTGACCCTGTACGTCCGGAACAGGAGCGGGCGCCGCCCGTCCTCGCCGCCGTCCTCCACGGCCTCCGCCGCCTCCTTGTCGTCGATGGGCGTCCAGTACTTGTCCATCGGGCTGACGACTGCTGGCTTCTTCTTCCTCTCCCTCGTGCCGTGCTGCTTGCCGTTGCCGTTCGCCGCCACCGACGACGGCACCGTCGTGCGGCCCCCGACAACGCCGTTACTGTTGTCGACGCTCCCCCCGTGATGGTCGCCGGCACCGTTCTCCGACGGCACCGCCGTGCCGCCGGCAACGACGACACCACCGTCCGCCGGCGCCTGAGGCGGAGCCATGCCTCGATCCTCCCTCGATCGATGATCAGTGTCAGTAGCTAGCAGCTGGCAACTAGCTCTGCTAGCTAGAGACTGGATTAGCTGGGCTTAATTAGCTCCGTAACCGTAAGCAGCTCAGTGAGGCGCGCCTGCTGGTCGCTAGCTCAGCTCGCTCGGTGAATGCAGCACTGAGAAGTGAGCAGAGTAGTGTATAAAGGAGTGTGGCAGTGTGCAGATATATGCTGTTCACTTGCCTGAGGAGGAGGTATCAAGGCAAAATCACGCACATTAATCTGATCCGATCAATCGATCGTCGGTTAGAAGCAGCCGAAGAATAAGAGGCCCGCTGGCTGTCGGCTGGCCTCGTCGATGACCTGACCTATCCGCATCACGGGGTACGATTACGAAGCTACGGTGCTCTACAGGTACAGGGTGGACCAGCTTATTATATTAAGTAGATTATTTGCAGCGATGGCAGCATCTGTAACACATGGCAGGACCAAGAGATTATTGCCATGCGTTCCGTCTCGTTCAACGAGAGAATGAATATAACGGCTACAAAGCCAGATCAATTTTTTGTATTTTTTTTTGTCTCCGTTACCAGATCTGGATTGGCTGTTGGGATTAGTGACATATTTTTAGTTTATTTTGATCCATGAAAACAGTAGAAAAAATAAATCATAAAATGTTTATAAACAAGAACATGTAACTAGTACTCTGTTTCAAGTATTTGCTAATTCACAAAAAACTAGTCATGTGATGATGTAGATGTGAATGGAGGCCGATTTGATCGTTATGTGGATCGTCACTGTGTTAAATCGCTACACTGCATCAACCGAGATTGGCTACATCAGCAAGACTCGGTAAGAATGTGTACTTATGCTAATAAGTAATAACAGTGTCAATGCTGCCATCAGAACCAGTCCCACCTAAGGCCTTGCTTGACTACACTCTGATTCACGTCAATCTACAGGTGCCTCAATACATGGATTTTGGTGGATTGATGAAGTGAAGTCAAACAAGCCATAATAACGGTATAATTCTCCGTTATGGTTTTGTTTTATTCATTCAAACACTACTTTATATAATAGTATGCTATTTATTATGAGAAAAACTAGCATGCTTTGTTAAATCAATCAGTGCCGGAACCATGCATATGTTATATTCGGGATTTAATCATGGAAATCAACAAATGTCTAATATTAATGCATGCCGGCAAGCAGGCATATATAAAGCATGTTCGTTTCGGCTTATTTGCTCGTATCTGACTTATAATTCATGGCTTGAACAGTATTTTTCTCGCACACCAAACCAGCTAGCAGTACTTTCAGCCATGGCTTATAAGCCGATTCAGCCGAAACGAACAGGCTGATAGATGGATCGATCGATCAATCATACTCCTATACGTATTCAAGTAATTCCAGCCAAGATGGCATCATCCAATTAAACGGCGCGCTTGTTTTAATTTTTCTTAGCAATTATTCTGAATTGCAGTCATGCATGTGACGACGGAGACGTGTGATGCCGCCTAACGGATGGAAGGCCATGTTTAGTTTTATCCAAAATCCAAACTTTGGCACTATGTAAAAAAAAGATTCCTCGTCACATTAAACTTGTGATATATGTATAGAGTACTAAATGTTGATGAAATCAAAAACTAATTGCACAGTTTTGTTGTACTTTGCGATACGAACGTTCTGAGCCTAATTAGTCAACGATTGGACAATTATTACCAAATAAAAATAAAATGCTACTGCAGCCACAGTGTAACTACAGTGAATCCGGCCGCGCCAACTCCACCGAACTAAACATGGCCGAAGCTAGGAAACAAAAGCCTCGCTTTGGAGAATATAATGCAGATGGTGGCTTGGATTATTAGCGATCGTCCATGTGCCGCAGATTGCCCGTTCCATCTGGCATTCTGGCCGCAGCGGCAACCCATCGCACGTCGTCGATCCCCATCCCCTGCTGTGTTTTAAGTGCAGGTTCACACCGACACGCGCGCCGCAGACCACAGTTTTCAGATCCAGCACGTGCGGTTGTATAACGGCAGAGCTGCATGCTGTGCTGTACTGCTCACTTGGCCGTGCGCTGGATCCCTGAAATTCGTCAGCGTTGAGATTTGAGCTCAAGTTGCTATCCTGGGAATTCGGAGATTGTTGCAGAGAGCGGACTCTGCATCTCTCTGTCTCTCTCGCCCATGTCTTATGTTTCCGTTCGGACATGACATACACTCTCCTTCCAGATCTAACCCAATGTACATGTTTCTATAGTTGCATATTGTGGCTCGTATACTAATACATACATGTATACACAACATACACATGAAATTCTGTCGAGGTAGGTAGCTAATAAGATGGCTCACTGGCCCTACACGGTTTTTAGAAATGTGATGTGATAAGCAGCATTTGGATCCACACGTAACGTAATACAGGTAGTCCACCTGGAGTGTGGGCGCCTTGGCATATTGAAGAACCCTTATGCACCTTTACAATCCACCATGTAGAGGCACGCGCTAGATTATATCTCAACTTTTTAGATAAGCTAAGAAACGCTTAGCCTTTCGAATAAATAAACCATTATCATGGCCCGATTATATAATGGGCACCTTAGTACTAGTAGTATTATATAAGTTCAGAGGTCACGGTGGTAGTATTGAGGCCGTGCATGGTTTTATAGACATGGTGTTTAACTGTTTAAGTACGGCAAACCACGGTTTGCAACCATAACGCGCAAGCAGCTTGAAGCTCCGCCAAACTAAACTAAACTAAGAATTAAATGTGAGAACCAAATCGATCATCGCTCTAGCGGAAGTAATTGTCTGTGTGCGTGCCCCAGGCCATACTCCCCTTCCCTTCCCTTAACTGAAACAGCATGCCTGTGACAGGCAGACAGGCAGCACATCCGCATCGACGACCCCCTCGGCACTAGTTTAATAGCGCACGACGACGGATCGGTCAGAGCAGACGGTCCGTCCACATCTGATGACAAATATATGCGGGGCCGCTGGACAAATCCCCCCACGATCCAAACGAGCGTGCATTACATACACTACTAGCTAGCTGTGGTGCGCTAAGTGCCGAGAGCATATCCGGCCAGCTTTGCTCGCGTGCGCGCGCTCCTCCGGGACGCGCTCGCTCTCACCGCCGATCCATCAGTTGGGGTGCGTGCTCGCCTAGTCGCCTTGGACGATAAGCTGCCTCTGATGGTCGATCCAACTCCAACTCCAAGCTGTCCGGTGTCCACCACAGCAGCACCGCCGTGGCCTCGCCTCGTACGTCTTGCTGAGTCATTATTGCGTCCACTACTCTGCTCGCTCGCCGGCGTGCTAGATCGATCGAGTCTTAGTATTCTTTTGTTCTGCAATCAGGCCGATGGATTCCTTTTGTGCGAGACAAGCTGCGCGCTGGCACTACCGCAAGTTGCAGTTGCAAAAGTGTCGGTGAGGCGAATGGGACGAAGGAGATTATACTAGTAGCAAGATCGAATGAGCCATGCCAAGTAGGGGGCCGGGCTAAGGGCCTAGCCTGCGCGCGCGCGCGTACGTACCTATGCCCAGTGACTGGGCCATGATGAGCCTTCCGTGTGTAGTACTCCCTCCGTCCCGTTAAGATTGTCGCTCGGGAAGCGGGATTGTGAGGGGGGCACGGTTTTCCAACGACAAACTCAATGGGACGGAGGGAGTATCTTCAAAGGGTCTTGTACTGTGTCGCGTACCTCTCTGTTTTCTGCACCTCCTTCGTTTCCTGTGCCCGCGTCGTCCTGCCGGCACCCTCCACTCGCATACGGGAACTGCCAGCTTCAGCTCCGCTTCCCGCGCGCACGTGGCACTGTCTGCACCCCTGCTCCGTATCGAGCACGCAGGGACTGCGGGCCTGTTTGGCAGGGCTCCTCTCTGGCTCCGGCTCTGGCTCCTCCAGAGGAGCCCTGCCAAATGTTTTTCTGAAGGAGCCGTTGTTCAGTAAAAAGCAGAGGAGCCGGAGCTGTTTTGGAGGAGCCACAATTTGTGGCTCCTCCAAAACGGCTCTGGCTCCTCCGGAGGAGCCTCTCAGGAGGAGCCCTGCCAAACAAGTCCTGCATGTGCCTGCGCCGGCTGCTTCCCACGCCCCGCTTCACAAGGGAACTGTATGCATGGCACCTTAGCAGCTACAGCAGGTGGCCGCTACAGATGAGATTCACTGCAACATATGCAACACTCGATATGATTTACTTTTGCAACATCCTGATGATACACTTGTAACATACGTCCGAAAACAACTAAAATACTTGTAACAGACGTCTGAAACACTTGCAACAAGCAACATACGTCTGAAACACTTACAAAACGCCTGAAAACACTTGAAAGCTGTTGCAAGCATATGCAACATCCATATAAAACAATTACAACATATGCGTGAAATATATGCAACATTCAGACAAATGCTTGCAGCATACATCTAAGAAACAGATAAAACATTTGGATCAGACTCAATATGCGTGTATAGCCTTGCAACATATGCAACATCCCGATCTACTTTTGCACCATCCATGCGAAACACTTGCAACATAAACATCTAAAACAATTGAAACATACGCTTGCAATATGTGCTTACGCGCAACATCTCCTTGCTACCTATTGCACGGAGGGAGCGTAGCTACACGCGTAGCCCCGCTGCGCCAAGCCACCATGCTGCTGCCCTCCAAGATCATCCACAAGCAGGCCAGCCATCAGCACAGGCGACAAGAAAGACATCTACGCGAGGGGGCGGAGGTGCGTCAAGGCAGCCGGCACAACATTGCACCATAACAAAACAGGAGGGATGTGCGGCTACGTACGCCTGGGGCAAAGGAGTTCATCTACTATGCACCGCCAGCGGAGTGTTGTGCCATGGGGTGGCGTAGGAAGCGGCCGGAGGGGCAGCCACATCTGGCACCAAAGCAAGGCAAGGACGACACAAGGCCCAGGAGGAAGACGGACGTCTGCGGCGAGCAGGAGGCGTGATGGAGAGGGAGGAAGCGGGCGGCCGCGCTCGGGGCGCGGT